CTTGCAGACTAGCGGTCATTGTATATATATATTTTTCGTATCGCCCTATCGGCCTTCTGGATAGCTGTTATACTGTTGTTACAGCCTTGTTGGCCTAGTATATATATATATATATGTCGTGTTGGGCTCTTCTACCTGCAGGTTATTATATTTCGGATCATATCTCATGGTTGGTTCGCTCGGGCCTTCGGGCATCGGGTGGCAGCCACACCTCACAAGGTTGGGGTGTGACACTAAGACTCGGGTTAGGACAGCAGGAGGCGATTCCGATTATTTTCCGGTTATTACGGGGTTGCACCAAGGGTCTGCGTTCAGCCTTTTCTTATTTGCCCTGGTGATGGATGCTATAACGCATCATATTCAAGGGGAGGTGCCATGGTGCATGCTNATAAGGTGTGCGTACATATTACCTCCCCAGACCCCACTTGTGGGATTACACTGCGTTGTTGTTGTTCTTCTTCTTTTCTTCTTCTGTTTCCCCACACGTTTGAGAAAAACTGCATCTCTTCTCCCTCACTCGCTCAACACCTCACTCAGCTTCTCCTTTCTCAAATCTCAAGTAATCAACCAGACCAAACATGTTTTTCCACATAGTATTAGAAAGAAACATGCAACTTCATCCCCGTCATTTCGGCCGTGATCTTCGCGAAAAACTCGTCTCCAAGCTCATGAAAGATGTCGAAGGCACTTGCAGGTTTCATTAAAATGGAAAGTTTCAATTTCCCGTTGCTTTAACATTGAATGCCGTTTATATTGATTGCTTAAGTTTTTGGGGTTCTTTCAGTGGTCGGCACGGTTTCATAGTGGCGATTACTGGGATCGAAAGCGTGGGGAAAGGTTTAATTCGTGACGGGACGGGTTTTGTTACTTTCCCAGTGAAGTATCAGTGCGTTGTGTTTCGACCTTTCAAAGGTGAGATTTTGGAAGCTGTTGTTACCATGGTTAACAAGGTAAGAAATGTTTCATTGTACTAAAATTTTGTCATGATTCACATAGCTTGGAATAAAATTGAATAGTCGACTCCAAATAGTTTGGGATTCAGAATTAGATTGATTGATTGACCTATAGATATGTTCTTTATGACGGTGGTGTCCAGACCAACTTGTGCGCACCTTGACTATTGTACCCGGTCCTTGTAGTCAATTTGGAAGAAGGAGAACTTAAACTCTACGTACTATCTCTCACTAGCACAATTACTGGCCTTGTAGTCCATTAGGAAGAAGGAGAAATGAAGCTCTATGTATTACCTCCCACTAGCACAATTACAAGGTAACTCTGCTTACCAAGGTTTAGGAAGATTGGAGAAAGTTAGCTAGTGTTTTATTAAAATGGATCATGATTCATATAGCTCCGAATAAGGGCTCGAATAGAGTGGACTTGATGCAGATGAATTAAATAGTTGAATCCAACTAGTTTGGATTGATACTAAGATTGATTGACTGACCTATACATATATGATTGTCAAATATTGTAGATAGGACTTCCAAGGTAAAAAAATGTTCATTGCATTAAAGTTGGTCATGATTTCTATGTAGTGAATAAAGAATCTTCAATAGTGTATAAGGGATGTAGACAATCATATAGCTAACTCTAGCTAGTTTGAGATTGAGATTTAGATTAATTGATTGATGGACTTACAATCTATTTTATGATTGTGAAATATTGTAGATAGGACTTATCCAAGGTAAGAAATTTTCGTTGCATTAAAGTTGGTTATGATTTACATAATATTGACATGAGATGAGTTGAGTTTAAATGGAGCAACTAGTTCAGTGGGTATTGAGACATAATAGTAGTTGTTGTAAAGTTGGTAATGATTTATATAGAGCGAATAAGCAGGCTTGAATAGTGTAGAATGGAGGTAGGCTATCATATATCGGACTCTAACTAGTTTGGGATTGAAACATAGATTATTGATTACATAGGATACAATATGAATGATTAATTGATTGGCCTATGCATATTTATGATTTTGGACATTGCATTTGCAAGGAAAAAGATTTCATTGTATTTATGTTAGTCTTGGTTAGGGGTAACAAACGGGCGGGTCGGACATGAGCATGTTGAAAATGGGTAATGCAAAAACAGATAAATTATTTGACCCAAATCATATTTAATACGGATAATAAACGGGTAATACGAACATATTTAATACGGCTCGTCCATATGGCTTCTTGAATATCACTTTTGGGAGAAGTCTTAGTCCCCCAAACTTGAGGAACCCCCTATTTGAGGCTTTACAAATGTAAAAGTTAAACACATTAGTTATCCATTGGTTATCTGTTTTCTAAGTGGATAATATGGTTCTTATCCATATTTGACCCGTTTTTAAAAAGTTCATTATCCAACCCAACAGTTTTCTTTTATCCATTTTGCCACCACTAGTCTTGGTAGTGAACTCTAATTAGTTTTACAAGATAAATTAATTGCCAGTTAGGAAAGAAATGAGTCTCAATAGAGCAGAATGTATATAGAAGATTCATATATATAGTCGATTCCAAGTGGTTTAGGCATAGTTGATCAATTGATTAATTGGTTAAAGTTAATTAAGTTTATTCCCTCTACCTATAGATACTTATATGTGTGGAATATTGCAGATGGGATTTTTTTGCTGAAGCAGGGCCTGTGCAGATTTTCGTTTCAAATCATGTGAGTTTTTCTCGGATCTTGAATATTTAGACCAGCATATATTGCTGATCCGCATTCCTGCTGTACATTTTTTTAGCATTGCATACCACTGGGGCACCCTGCTATATGCATGAGTGCATGGATCAAATTTAAATATAGAAATTTAATATGAAGATGAAATGTAATTTGCATGTATTTTTTGTTGTAGAAGCTTGAATGTCAACTTCTATTAGAAAGGCAAATTGTTGATTCTTGAAACATGTTTTGGTTCAAACTTAATAAAATGTTTCCACATTTTCTTGTAACTTTTCTCGTTTATTTTGGAAACCCCTTTGGTGATGCAAGCTCTCAACTGGTTTGTTGAAAGTGGATGACTCTATCACTAGAGCAAACCCTCACTAATGCAACTATCTTATCTGTATTCTAATGAGTTAAATCCATAAAATATTCAGGAAGAATCCAGAATTCTATTCTTATAGAATATTAGCTTTAACTTGAATATCTAGTTTGAGTTTATGCTTGACTATATTAATCGGATTGGTTAAGTGTTCCACCAAGCGAACTTAAAATAAATAAATATTGCGCCAAGCTAATTTTGTACTCAGCTAATATTAGTGCCTTTAGAATTATGCTAGGACCAAATTGTTCACGACACTCATACTAAACATTTTTAGAGTTAAATTATATTGAGTTTACTACCTTAAGTGAACTTCACCGGTCCTGGGAATAGTGGTTGTGTATGCGTGACTAGTGGTCGGAAATGTAAGCCTCTGATGGGAATAGTTATAGTCCTCAAGTACATTCATGCTTCAACAGAGTTTATAAACCAACTAAGAAAAGATGGTAGATATTATGTAGCTAAGTGATAGAGAATGATTTGTACACTTGAGGAGTAGTCTCTTATCTCTTATATCATTTTGGTGCACCCATGAGATTCCTATTTGTATCGAGGTTTGGTTGACTCTTTTAGAAAGCCATATCTCTTTGTAAGGTCGTCTACTTTTTGATATACTTATACAGGTGATTGCCCTTCATTAATAAAAGCTCTTACTTTACCAGATATGCAGCCAAGTGTCACATTATACTATACTATAGTAGATGACAGAATTGAGAATGCCAGCGTCTAACAAAATTTAATCTAATCTATCTCCATTGTTGTATTTCCTTTTTCAAGATAATGAAAGCAGTTTATTAGCACAATGGATCTTATCAAAAAAGTTTATTAGAACAATGGAGGAATCCCATATAAAAAAACATACAACAATAACTGCTATGTGAAAAGATAGTTTTACCCTTCTTATCCTTTTGTATTTACTTCTTTAATAACTTACCCAACTATCTTAGCTATCACCCAACGCTCATAAGCAGATCCATAGTCACGGCATGTTTTCTGAAAAATTAAGGCGGCACCCGATACCATTTACTTGCACCGAGTGAACCAACTAGTCTGTTCTACCCTTGGCATGCTCTGTGCAACTTTGTGCAATCTTTGAGAAGAAGTAAATCATAAACTTTGAAAACATCTTTAAACTTTCATATTCGTAACGTCATAATGAAAAGTGTTGTTCTTACATGCCATATAAGTGCTCATGCAAAAAGGGGAAACCATAAGTTGCATCTATGAAGTCTATTAGACATGAAGAAAGGATGAAATACACGAGATGGAAGAGTTTTGGGCTATCCCACAAAATAAATGAAATACCAAAAAGGAAATGCCTCCACTGAAAGCAAAAATGGAGCTCACTAAAAGTCTGTGGAACGTGAGGGAGATTCTAGCTTGCAGTCTGATTATCTGCGACACATATACCTATAATGACATAGTTAAAATAGCGTCCCCACAAGGGAGCATGAGCACAACTTCCTCGTAGTGAGTATCATTGATTCCCTCACTAAAGCTGGAATGATGACTTAATAAAACATGACGTTTAAAGTATAAATTCTTAAAGCGTGATATAACATAAAAGCATTTGAAATCATTTAAAGCAATTCTTATGAAGATCTTAAACATAAGCTCGAATTTAAACTTATCTTTTCACGAGAGTGCCATTCGACTATCTTTCTTATTTAAGTCACCATATAACCAGTATGACTGGACTGGCGATCCCTGCCCGATCGATTGGGACATCTCCCCATGGTGCCACACAGTTTTACGTTTCTTTGTTAGCTTATGTAGTTGCTTTACCAGGGCAACTTGTCGTACAGCCGAGTCAATGAATACTACCATACCTTGGTACGAGTAGTTTCAGGGTAAATCACAGTCCAACCAAGGCTACGAATACCCTTCTTAGATATCTAAGGTGGCTCCCAAAACACTTGATAAAAGCTTTTACTTTGGCACATTAGGCCTCGACTTTGCATAACTTTATCATTCATAACTTGTCATAATATTCGTTACATGAAAACATAATTCAAGTATTCAAATAATTCTTGGAAATTTATAATGAAACTTGATAACTTTCATGAAATTTAATTCAATTGAAATCATGTAAACATAACTTGAAAGGGATCAATTAAACACTTATATTATGTCACTTTAGCAATTGAAACATAGTTCAAAATATTTATAGATAATGCACACTCACTCATTGCAGTTGAACACACATTAATATTCTCAAACATTTTGTCGAACTCGTTGAAGGCATGAACGTAGTGAGAAAAGACCTTAACTAAAGGTACATCTTAACTCACCTCAAAATCTCTTCAACTAAACATATGCTCCAATGTGCCCAAACAAGTTCAACGATCTACATAAAATTAAATTCCATCAACAACTGTCCTTAATCATATATCCCAACGGCAAGCGTAATCAATTAGCCAATTTCTTTCAATTCACCATTTCGAGTCTTCGAGTCTTTCTGTTATAAATCAAGTCCACCTACCCTATTCCCATACTTATTTCCTTAAAATCATAAAAGTTCTTGTTTCCAAACACCCAATAATTATCTATCATCCCCCCTCCCCCCCCCNTGGCGGTCGAAATTCTGCCATTTTCCAGTAGTGTGAAGACTTAGATAAATTAACTAAAGTTAAGACTCACAATTAGTTACCTACATATTAGGAATATGAATATGTATGGCGATTTATGTGTGTTCTAGTATAGTATAATATATAGTTTTTTGTTGGGAGTAAAAAAAAAAAAAAAAACCTTCCAACCATTACCATTAATGGCTCACTGATAGGGTTCATGAGCCCTCAACATTCAATCACCAACAAATCTCATAAAGACATGTAATAGATAAATTGGGAATGATGAAATTACCTAAGTAGACCAAATTTTGAAAATTAAACTTTGTAGTGTTCTTGTTCTCTTTGAAGATTCGGAAGAAAACCTATGATCTCAACGTAGCCCCATTTTATTACCAATGTTAATGAGATGAAATTATCACAAATATGCCCATAAAACTTACCTCAATGGTTAGAGTTGCCAAAGGCGGCTTTTGAAGTCGTGCCTTAGGCTTGGAAGATGAGAAAAATGAACCAAATCACATTATGAGGGCTTCTTCTAAGCCCTAGGTATGTAGGCATACGTTCTGGCAAAGCAGGACTTGCCCGTGCACATGGAACCTCAGGATGTATGCCTCGCCCTCGCCCTGGGCAAGCACGGGTATTCCCTGACAGGCAGCCTTCAGTAAAATCCTCATAACTTTTCGTAGAAATATCTGAATGACTAAAACTTTGAAGCATTGGAGACTAGAGTTTAAGTGCTTTAAGTTGACATCTTATTCATAGGCAAATATATTATTCATTGGTAGTCGAGACCGTTTGAAGGTAAGCCTTGTGTCACTTGTTTGGATCTCTAGCCCCTTGCGTAGTTTCCAGCTTATATTGTTCCTCAGGCTTCCTTTAAACTCCAAATTATTTCCATTTCATGCCAATAGCCTATCAACCATACTTCCATATTTTCAATACCTTGATTCATTTGATTAGCACGTAATTTAAAATGACTTAAGCTCAAACGCACTCGAAATTTAGCTGGGCACTGTGGCTCTGCAATGCTTAATTGCCTCATAATTGTATCTCTCTGTAATCAACTCATTCTTGAGTTCCTCCCTAGTGCATTTGTTCTCATTTCTCTTAGCAAAGGAGACAGATGGAGAGAAGAGGAAAAGAGTGAACAATTCTGGAATGAAAGAAGAGGTCTTTGCTGTGTCTTAAGGCTATGCGAGAAAGTAATATCATTGATATGCAAGTTTCTTCTCTGTTTTATAATATGATTGAAAACCGCGGAACAGTTTGAATTGGTTTGCCATACAAAACATGGAAGAACTCTTTGGCTCCTTGACCAAAATTTCAAAATGAAAGTTGAAGGCCCCCCTAGAAAGGAATAAAGGCTCAATTTTCTATACCTGAACTTGTAACTTAGATCATCGTACTTTTTCCATTTTGTCCAAGCAGACTACATGCATTATCTTGGACAAAGAATAAAAGATCGTGAATGAAATTGGTGCTAAGACATTGTTTTTTTTTTTTTTTTTGTTTCAGTAGACATGAATTCAAATACACTAAGATTTCTTAAATTAACTTAGGTCTTATTACCTTTTCCATCTTGTCCTCCTTTACTGTATCCTTTTTTCTTTTTAAAAAAAATAAATTAATTAAACACGCATTTTATTCATCTCCGAAACAGTACATTGGTTTGAGGGAGTTATTACATCTAACAAATACCCTGAAATACGTTGCAAGATAGATATTATATCTTGGATATATTTGAGATGAAGTAAATACATGTGGTGAATGGAAACTAAGTCAATGAGACAACTAAGACTTAGTATCCAAACTCTACATAAGATCCACCAAAAAATTCTACGTCTACACGTATACAGAGACAAAATCAAGGAGGCTCGGATGTGATTGTAGATTTCTTCTTGTTGACGTAGCGAAAGGCAGGAATGCCCCACCTATCCATGTTTAGAAGGCCTTTAACTTGAGATTGAAGCTCAACAAACACTTGTGAATCTGGGAGTGAGCAGAAACATGGCTTAATGATGCCAGTTTGTCCGCAACCTGATTAGATTCTCTGAAACAATGATTTAGAACAATATGGCCTTGCCTCATAAACTTCTTGATGTCTTCTACCTCACTTGACATCCTCCAAGGAGTAGCATTAGTACCTTTTGACACAGCCGACCAGTAGTTTGGAATCACTCTCAGCAATGTTGTATTGAAAATCATTATTCAAACACCAATTGATTC